AAACCCAACCCGAAGGTGACCGGGAACGTGCCCGGGATCTCTCTGGGCACCGCGCATCTCGTGTCGGCAAATCCGAAACTGGAGATTTATCCCGAGCTGGGACCCGCCACAGGGCTCGCACAGGAGGCCCCGGCTGGCCACGTGCTCCAGTCCCCTGGCATGGCAGCATCCTGAGCGTTAAGTGACATGTAGGGACAGGAGTCCCTAGCAAGTGACACCAGGAGGACCCAGGGTGGGTGGCGATGCCCAGGGACCGTGCGGGATCCTGCCATTCCCAGTGCCCCGGCCCAAACCCTGTCCTGCCCCTGCGTCGTCTGGGAACAGGCCGTGCCGCGATGAACCGGGTGGCATCATCGCCCCGTCAGGCCTCTCCGAGCAGGGCGCAGCTCCCGCTTCCCGCAGCACCGTGGGAAAGTCGTCCCAGCCCCGGCTTCCCCGGGTGACTCAAATCGGCTCCGGCTGGATCTGAGCTCCCAGGGCAGGAGCCCCGTTCCCAGGGCTGCGGGAGGGATCGCGGGAGCCCATGGAATGGCGTGGAAGCCAGAGCCCCTCTGCAGGGTCCCAACTCAGGGCAGAGCCGTGGACGCCTCGGCCATCGCTGCCATCTGCGCCCTTCCTGCGTCAGGGAATTCCACAGGGACCAGGTCAGGGCAGCCGGATCTCTCCTCGCTCCGCAGGCATCCGTCTGATCAAGCGGCGACTTGTCCTGAGCCACGGAGCGGAGCAGCGAGCGAGTCCCGGCACCAGGAGCGACCTCCCCGTCGGCCTTTGGGATGGAGCCATGTCCAGCTGTCTGTACCCACGTCCTGCGAGGAGAACAGGCTCCAAATTTCCTCACCGTTCCCAAGTCACTGTTAGTCTCTTATCAGCAGCTAGGATCATTGATCGGCAACTAAACCACCGCAATTCTGCTCTGCACTGAGATGCCTACACAGTTACTAACAGCCCAAACACGGTGGGCCTGGTACCAAGCGGCTCCTTGGCCAATTCCCTTTACGTTTCATTCCCCCCTCCCCAGGTTTTACACCTAAGGATCAGGCGTGCAGGGATCCAATCCACAGAGCCGCCCCCCAGCCCCAAGGGAGCAGCAAGAAATCCAGCTCAGGGCACCGATGCCACCTGCTGGGAGCCGGTGCCAGGGCCAGCAGCCCCCGGACCGCATGGAGCCACCACGGAAATGCTGGAGGTGACACGTTAAAAACAGGGACCTGGACGGGAAACTGCGGATTTGCTCCACGCTCTGTGCAGGGCATCTGGCACGGGGGGACCCTGGGGTGCAGAGCGGGAGCGACCGGTGCATGGAGGAGAGCACGGAGGGGCTGGAACGGATCCCCCGGTTGACCGGGACCCATCCTGGCACGGGAAGGCTGCGCCATCGGCAGCCGGATCGGGCGGATCCCGCTGCAACCAAGGGGCCAGGAGAGGCCCCAGGAACCGCAGCCCTGCCAGGACGGGGCCGCGAACACGCGGGGCGGCCGAGCGGGCGGGAAGGCACCGTCCGCACAGCCCGGCCCGGTGAGGGGCCCCCGGGGCGAGCGGAGCGGAG